GCCCTACTCCTTTGAGCCACAGGTGCCACCCTCACCTGATTCTCGAGCAAGAATATATTCACATGTGTTTAATTTCCAGATTTTGGGTTTTATGATTTGGTAGTTTTTCTTCTTTGTATTTTGGTTTCATTTTGTTTTGGTCAGAAAAGATGTATTGCATGATTTCAGTCATCTTAAATTTGGTTAGAGTTGTTATCTACAACATCCTAAGGAAGCAATAAATAGGTGTAATGGAAGAAATTACTGCTTTTGACTGGAGAGTTCTGTACATTTCTGTTAGGTCTAATTGGTATATAATGTTCAAGTTTCTGTTTTCTTATTGAGCTTCTGATTTTTCTATTGATTATTAAAAGTGGAGCCTTAATAATGACATTGCTATGCATCTCTTGTTTCCCTTCTGCCTTATTTGTTTCATATATTTGGAATTCCTAATGTTATATATATACAGTATACATCATACATGCAACATATTTAATGCACATTACATGTATATGTTATACGGTATTTCTATAAATATTCATGCATATGTGTATATGTTATTGTTACAGATTCCTGATAAACAGACCCTTCTTTTTTTGCAGTTTTTGGCTGGGGCTGGGTTTAAACCCACCACCTCTAGCATATGGGGCTGGCGCCCTACTCCTTTGAGCCACAGGTGCCGCCCTAACAGACCCATTTTTTTATCATTATATCAATCTTGTTTCTCCTAACAGTTTTGACCTAAAGTGTTCTATGTCTAATATAATTCTGGCTACCACATCTACTTCTGGTTAATATTTGCATGGAATATATTTTTTTATCCTTTTATTTTTGTACTATTTGCTTAGAGCCAAAATGAGTCTCTTGCAAACACAATGTTATAGAAATTGGCTTATTCTTGGCAGCACCTGTGGCTCTGTGAGTAGGGCGAAGGCCGCCCCATATACCGAGGGTGGCAGATTCGAACCCAGCCCTGGCCAAACTGCAACAAAAAAATAGCCAGGCATTGTGGCGGGCACCTGTAGTCCCAGCTACTTGGGGGGCTGAGGCAAGAGAAT